ATTCAAATTGATTCAAAAATTTCTGAAAACTATTTTGTTAGCAAAAAGGAAGTTAGCTTTGGCATAAATGTCTTGCATATATTAATATGAATCAACTTTCAAAATTAACAAAAAGGGATTTAGTCATTGGTTTGCCTAAAATTCAATATGAACATGATATTGTGTGTGATGCTTTTCAGAAAGGGTAAACAGACAAAGTCCTCATTTAAATCAAAGAAGACAGTTTCAATTGAAAGGCCACTCCAAATGCTTCACGTGGATTTGATTGGTCCGTCAAGAGTCAAAAGTTTTCGTGGAAACTTATAAATTTTTGTGATAGTTAACAACTATTCGAGATTCACCTGGACTCTGTTTCTTTCCTCTAAAGACGAGACATTTGGTGCGTTTATCATTTTTCCCAAAAAGGGTCCAAAATGAGAAAGGTATTTATATTGTGTCAATCAGGACTGATCATGTAGGAGAATTTGAAAACAACAAATTCGCAAACTATTGTGACGAGCATGGGATTGACCACAATTTCTCAGCACCAAGGACTCCTTAGCTAAATGGAGTAGTAGAAAGAAAGAATAGAGTGCTCACATAAATGGCAAGAGCAATGTTGAATGAGAAAGGGATTTCTCAAGTGTTCCAGGTTGAAGCAATGAGCACGGCTTGCTATATCTCTAACAGAGCTTACATCAGAACATTGCTCAAGAAAACTCCATATAAGCTGTATAAAAGAAGGAAGCCTAACCTGGCTCATCTAAAGATCTTCATAGGCAAGTGCTACATTCACAACAACAACAAAGAGAATCTCAATAAATTCAATCCTAAAAGCTGATGAAGGTTTATTTCTCAGCTACTCTAACTATAGTAAAGCCTATAGAGTTTTCAACAAACGTACTTTTACTATTAAAGAGTCAATACATGTTGTGTTTACTGAAACTGAGTCAATTTCAAAACCTCTAGATGATAATACTGAGATCATTCAAAGTTTTGAAAAACTGAATTTGAACGAACCTTCTAAGTTTCTTCAGAAGAAAGTCTAGAAAACAAGGATGATTTGAATGAACCACCTTCTCAAAACTTAGAACAACCTAAGGCTTGGAGGCATAATAGAAATCATCCTCTGGAACAAGTCACTAGTGAAGTCAATGAAAGGATCAAAACCCGAAGACAAGTGCTCAATAAATTGTGTTTTTCTGCATTTATTTCACACATTAAACCAACCAATATTGACGAAGCTCTGTCTGATGAATTCTGGATAGTAGCAATGCAGGAAGAGCTAAACCAATTTGAGAGGAATCAAGTTTGGGAATTGGTACCCAAACCTAATGACCATCTAGTTATAGGCACCAAATAGGTATTCAAAAATAAGCTTGATGAATTTGCACAAATCATCAGAAACAAAGCCAGATTAGTAGCTAAGGGCTATAATCAGGAGGAAGGTATTGATTATAAGGAAACATATGCTCCAGTAGCTAGATTGGAAGCCACATGAGCTCTCCTAGCTTTTGCTTGCGTAAAAGATTTCAAATTATATCAAATGGATGTTAAAAGTGTATTTTTGAACGGTTATGTCTTGGAAGAAGTTTTGATCAAACAAGCTCCTGGTTTTAAAGATCCCAATTTCCCTAATCACGTTTACAAACTGAAAAAGGTTTTGCATGGTTTAAAACAAGCTCTTAGGGCTTGGTACGAACGAATTAGCAATTTTCTGATTAAAAAAGGTTTTGAAAGAGGCAAAGTGGATGCTATGCTTTTCATCAAAAGAAGTAGAAAGGAACTGTTAATTGTTCAAATTTATGTAGATGATATAATATTTAGAGTTGCTAATAAGGATCTTTGCTAAGAGTTTGCTAAACTAATGCAGGGTGAATTTGAAATGTCAATGATGGGAGAATTGAACTTCTTCCTGGGATTGCAAATCAAGAAGAAGAAAAACAAAATATTTATATCCCAGACAAAGTATCTGAAGGAGTTACTGAAAAATATGGCTTGGAGAATGCAAAGAGTGTAAAGACTCCTGTGAATTCAACCATCTCACTGGATGTAGACGAGAAAGGGAAAGACGTGAATTTCACCAAGTATCGAGGGATAATTGGATCACTGCTCTACCTCACAGCAAGCAGACCAGATATCTAATTCAGTATAGGAATTTGTGCAAGATACCAATAAGCTCCTCCTATGAAGAAGCCATTAAGAGAATCCTTAGATATCTTGTCGGTACCACAAATTTAAGAATCTGGTATCCAAAGAAAGGAGCAGATATCTAATAGGATACTCGGATACTGATCATAGAGGCTATAAGACAGATAGAAAGAGTACTAGTAGACAATGTCAATCTCTGGGAGGATGCCTTGTCTCGTGGTTGAGCAAGAAGCAGAATGCTTTAGCAATATCCTCTACAAAATCAGAATATGTTGTCATTGCCAGTTGTTGTGCCTAGATTCTGTGGTTAAAGCAACAACTACAAGATTTGGGAATCAACTTAAAGGAGATACCAATCCTGTGTGACAATATGAGTACTATAAGTCTGTCCAAAAATCCAATTCATCATACTCGAACCAAGCACATTGATGTCTGACATCACTTCATTTGGGATCATGTTCAAAAGAAAGATGTGAAAGTAGAGTTCATTCCCACTGAGTACCAGATAGCAGACATATTTACAAAGCCTCTCGATCAACAAAAATTTAATTACTTCATAAGAGAATTGGGAATGGTAAATCCCAATAAGTTGTAAGAAATCTCACATTACTGTTTTAATTTAATCATTTAGATTTAAAGTTTTGATGATTTAAAGACTAAAGCATCAGAGTGGATAGAAATTTGTTTTGCAAGAGACTCTGTTTAGACGTCAAAAAACAGAGGTAAATGGAGTATGAAATGATTGATAAAGACATCAAAAATTATGCTGTAAAGAAGGGATGATTTATCAATCAACTGATCGATAAATAAGGCATATAGAGTAAAGGAAAGAAGTTGAAAGGAATATTATCGATAAGCTGATCAATCACTCAATTATCAATCAACACATTAATCAACAGCAATAAGGAATCTCAATCAAATCAGTCAAGTAGGTAAGAATTATTGATAAGCTAATCGATAAACTGTTAATCGATCAAATGATCAATAATCTCGACCAGGTATGAGTTTTTGCTTAACATGTATCGATAACATGATCGATGATTCATTGTTTGATAACATGATCGATAATTGCCTTCAGTGTTCTTGTCTATTCTTCTTATTTATCAAACATGTGATCGATCATATATTGATTAATAACTTGATCGATTAATTCTGTGCTTATAATGGTCAAAATTTGAAAAACCCTGAACCCTAGCTGGATAAAACCATCACCCCTATTTCATGCAACGTTCAAATTCTCATTGGTCCATTAAACTCCATACTAATCCTCACTCAAAATCACACTCTAAGCTCTTCCAATCATTCCCAATCTTACTAAACTCTCAAACCACCAAACATTCTTCCAAAATCTTCCTCTAGACCGAGAAATGGCTAGAGTTAAGCAACCAAATGTTAGCCAAGAAGAAAACACTGAGAAACAAACCCAATCCAGAGAAACTACTCCCTCGACTATGAAGAAGAGATATAGACCTAAAGTAAGGGAAGAACCCTCAAAGAAAAGGGGCGTATTGAAGACAAGAGAAGGCCAAACCTAAAGCTCCGAGCAACCCATCCCTCAGAGAAAATCTCCACAGTCAAAGTCTAAATCAAAGCTACCAATGGTCATCGAGGAATCAAAAATAGAATCTAATGATGAAGTTTTATTTTAGAAAGCTGTGGAGGCTACACTAAGAATTCTTGTCCCCAAGCAACTGAGACAAAGGAAAAGAAAGCAAGTGAGGGTGCAACACCAACTTCCTATCCAAGGTATTCCATCTGAATCATCTGAGTTTTTGGTTGGGAATCTAAATAAGGATGTAAACATGGTTAAGTTTAAGGTAGATTTTACAGATCATAAATTCTGTCCTGTGGTCTCTGTAGATATAAATGGCTTGAAAAAGAATGAAAAAAAATCAATTTGGACTTGAGTGATCTACTTGAACACTACTTTGAGCATTGGAGGAGAATACTGCCCAGAAGTAGTTAAAAGATTCTATTGCAATATGGAATCTGTGGAGGAATATGATGAACAAGATAATCTAGTGAATGATTATCTAAAAGTCAAACTAAGAGGCAGAACCTTCAATCTCACTCATGCCAAGCTGAATGAACTTTTAGGGACTTAAGAATATGTGAGGGGAGGTGATATGAATGAGGTAAAAGCCTATAAGGTTCTAATGCAGAATGATAACTATCCTAGTAAGCTGAGCTTTCCTCCAAAGCAAATGTGCGATTATTACAAAATAATCCACTATATCTACTCAAGGAGTATGGTCAATAAATCTGGCAATTTCTCACATCTGAACCAAGATGATTACCTTCTGTTGGCTAGAATAATTAGTGGAGAAAAGATCAATATAGGGGATCTAATTTTTAATGAAATGAAGGACTTTGTTCTCAACAAGTCCAAGTCTATACCAATCCCAAATCCTCAACCGGCCACCTATCTACTTCAAGTGCATAACATTGCACCTTTTGAGCCAGGAGAACTTAAAGTGAAGGTTCCTACATTTAGCATAAATCAACTCAATAAGATGAGAATACTAGTGCCATTCAGACCATCACAAAAATTGGCACAAAAAGAAAAAGGACAACAACCAATAGCTAATACCTCCAGACCCCAAGATAAGGCAGAATCCACTGCAGCTCCTTCTCACACCTTTGGACCTTCTTTTATAGAGAGGTCAATCAAGGAAATGTTCCAGTCAGAGCTCCATGATTTTGAGAAGAGACTTTATGATATAGCCAAGGAATATGGGAAGATATCTGATAGGAAATTTGAGGGTTTGTACAAAGTCCTGGGTCTCCATCGTCAAGCCATGGCTGTCTTGGAAAAGGAGGTTTCCTAGAGATTTGATTTTATTGAGAAGGAAATCAAAGAGTTAAAAGCAATGGTGGCCTCTCTTTGCGACAATTTCTTTGCACCTAACACCTCCTTCAGTTTTGAAGACCTCTTATCTCATCCATCCTCTCCTCCTCACCCCAATCCTGAACCACCTTCTTCGCCTATCTCCACCTCTCCTACTTATCCTCCACCTTCTGTCCCTTCCATATTATCTCCTACTCCTTCTCCTACTACCTTGGCCATTATCATAGTTCCTCAACCTGCTCTCTCTGTAACTCTTCCACCTATTTCTCAGGCCCTTCCTCTAATTTCCCAGCTTCCCCCTCTCCCTATTCCCATCACCTTGCCTACTATCTCTTCTCCTTCCCCATCTTTTGATGCTGACAAAAACGGGGAGAAGAAATCTGCCTAGGTCTTCTATGATTTCTTAGGTCTTCTATGTTTTCATTATGCTTTCTATTATGTTTTCATGTATTTCTGTTATGGTTTTCTATTATGTTTTCATGTATTTCTGTTATAGTTTCATGTATTTGTGATATTTAAATTCTGACTGAGTTTGATGGTTTCTGTTATGCTAACAGTACGTATATGATTCAGTTGTGCATTTCTGACATTTTGATGAATATTTTTATCTATCTTGAGTTCTTGTTTAATTCAGAATCTAGCTTAAGTGTTTTATCTGTTAATGTTAGATTTAAGGTTTTAATGATAACAAATCAAGTATGTTCTAGTTTAGCATGTTGATCGATCAAAAGATAATCGATTAAATGTCAAATAAAATGTCTCTGCTTGCTTGAAAGTTGGTACTATGTTTGATCAATAAATTGATAGATAATTCAAATTTTATGTGTTGATCGATCAATTCATTGATCACTGTTAACACTGTTTGGTATAGAAGTCGGCAAAAAATTATCGATCACTTTATCAATAATTAGATGATCAATAATTTTAATGAATTAGGAGGTGAAGAAAGAAATTAGATTTAAAAAAGTAAATACAAATAGGGGTAGTTTAATTGATTGAAAAGTCAAGTCACGTCATAGAAATCGGTAAATTATACAATGAAGACTTCGAGTGATTGTATTTTCTTTAGGTATGTTTATTTCTTGTGTGCTTAATGTTGATTTTATAGCCACCACTAAAAATCAAATACATAGGTAGCTAATTTTAAGGAACTAGGAGGTGAATAAAGAATCTAGATATAGAGAAGTAAATACAAGTATTTAGTCATTATAAAAATATTTAAAGTCATGATGAGATCATAGAAATTAATATTTTTCCAGTTCTAAATATAAAACCTATTTTATAGTATAAGTTACACTATAAAATGAGTCTTGTATTTAAAAACAGAAGAATAACTTATAAGATAAACACTTAAAATGAGTGTATTTCTTTCAAGTATATTTATTTCTTGTGTGCTTAATGTTGATTTTATGGTCACCCTTGAATCAAATATATGGGTAATTTTAATGAACCAGGAGGCGAAGAAAGAAACTAGAGTTAGAAAAGTAAATACAAGCACGAAGCTGTTATAATTGATTGAAAAGTCAACTCACATGTTAGAAATTAAAATTTCAAGTGATTGTATTTTCTTGAAGTATATGGGAAAAAGACAGAAAAATGCACCTTTAATTTCATAAACCCAGAAACGTCCGCTGAATTCAGAAAATCCCATTTTGGTACCATGAGACCAAATTGGGATTAATATGTGAAAGGAAAAGACCACATTGCCCTTCATTTTAAATATTATTTTTAAAATATCACAGCCCTACTGGCCGGCCGGTCACCGGAGCTCCGGCGGCGGCGGTCACCGGAGCTCCGGCGACCATCCGACAATTGGTCACCGGAGCTCCGTCGGTCGGAATTTTTTTTTTTAAATTTTTACAACTTCAATATAACGGTTAACAACTTTTGTAATGCGATTAACAACTTCAGTATAACAATTAACAACAGCTTTTCTAGGAAATTCAACAAACTCCGGCGACCGGAAACAATTATTTTGAAAATTTTTACAACTTCAATATAACCGTTAACAACTTTTGTAATGCCATTCACAACTTCAATATAGCAATTAACAACAGGTTTTCTGGAAAATTCAATAAACTTCGGCGACCGGAAACAATTTTTTCGAAAATTTTTACAACTTCAATATAACGGTTAACAACTTTTGTACTACTATTAACAACTTCAATATAGCAATTAACAACAACCAACTCCGGCGACCGGAAATAATTTTTTGAAAATTTTTACAACTTCAATATAACGATTAACAACTTTTGTAAGCCTATTAACAACTTCAGTATAGTGGTTAACAACAAGTTTTTGAGTTTGTTAAAGGCATTACTGAAGTTATAAAAATGTCACTTTTGAATTTAAAAACTTGTTGTTAACTGCTATATCAAAGTTGTTAACCGTTATATTGGAGTTGTAAAAATTTTCAAAAAAACGTAATTGTTAACGTTATACTGAAGTTGAAAATTTTTACAACTTCAATATAACGATTAACAACTTTTATAATGCTATTAACAACTTCAATATAGCAATTAACAACAAGTTTTCTGGGAAATTCAACAAACTCCGGCGACCGGAAATAATTTTTTGAAAATTTTTACAACTTCAATATAGCGGTTAACAACTTTTGTAAGCCTATTAACAACTTCAGTATAGCGGTTAACAACAGGTTTTTGAGTTTGTTAAAGGCATTACTGAAGTTATAAAAATGTCACTTTTGAATTTAAAAACTTGTTGTTAACTGCTATATCAAAGTTGTTAACCGTTATATTGGAGTTGTAAAAATTTTCAAAAAAACGTAATTGTTAACGTTGTACTGAAGTTGAAAATTTTTACAACTTCAATATAACGATTAACAACTTTTATAATGCTATTAACAACTTCAATATAGCAATTAACAACAAGTTTTCTGGGAAATTCAACAAACTCCGGCGACCGGAAATAATTTTTTTGAAAATTTTTACAACTTCAATATAGCGGTTAACAACTTTTGTAAGCCTATTAACAACTTCAGTATAGCGGTTAACAACAGGTTTTTGAGTTTGTTAAAGGCATTACTGAAGTTATAAAAATGTCACTTTTTGAATTTAAAAACTTGTTGTTAACTGCTATATCAAAGTTGTTAACCGTTATATTGGAGTTGTAAAAATTTTCAAAAAAACGTAATTGTTAACGTTACACTGAAGTTGAAAATTTTTACAACTTCAATATAACGATTAACAACTTTTATAATGCTATTAACAACTTCAATATAGCAATTAACAACAAGTTTTCTGGGAAATTCAACAAACTCTGGCGACCGGAAATAATTTTTTTGAAAATTTTTACAACTTCAATATAGCGATTAACAACTTTTGTAACACTATTAATAACTTCAGTATAGCGGTTAACAACAGATTTTTTTGAAAAATTATATAACTCAAAAACTTGTTGTTAACCGCTATACTGAAGTTGTTAATAGGGTTACAAAGTTGTTAACCGTTATACTGAAGTTGTAAAAATTTTCAAAAAAATTGTTTTTGGTCGCCGGAGTTTGTTGAATTTCCCAGAAAAGCTGTTGTTAATTGCTATACTGAAGTTGTTAATAGCAGTACAAAAGTTGTTAATCGTTATATTGAAGTTGTAAAAATTTTCAAAAAAATTGTTTCCGGTCGCCGGAGTTTATTGAATTTCTCAGAAAACTTGTTGTTAATTGCTATATTGAAGTTGTGAATGGCATTACAAAAGTTGTTAATGGTTATATTGAAGTTGTAAAAATTTTCAAAATAATTGTTTCCAGTCGCCAGAGTTTGTTGAATTTCCCAGAAAAGCTGTTGTTAATTGTTATACTGAAGTTGTTAATCGCATTACAAAAGTTGTTAACCGTTATATTGAAGTTGTAAAAATTTTCAAAAAAAAAAAATTCCGACCGACGGAGCTCCGGTGACCAATTGTCGGCTGGTCGCCAGAGCTCCGGTGACCGCCGCAGCCGGAGGTCCGGTGACCGGCCGGCCAGTAGGGCTGTGATATTTTAAAAATAATATTTAAAATGAAGGGCAATGTGGTCTTTTCCTTTCACATATTAATCCCAATTTGGTCTCATGGTACCAAAATGGGATTTCCTGAATTCAGCGGACGTTTCTGGGTTTATGAAATTAAAGGTACATTTTTCTGTCTTTTTCCCTATATTTATTAGTAACTAACATCATCATAAAGTAGAGATGTTTAACTTGTCCTGTCCCAGTCCTCTTGTCTCAGTCTAGGTCAATTTAGGACAGGACGGGACCAAAAAAAATTTCAAAACGAGATGAAGCAATAACCAGGGCAGGACGAGATAAAACATTAACTAGGACAAGACAGGACGTGAGACAGGGTCATTCCGTCCTAAGATATTTTTTTAAAAAAATATTTATTTATAATAATTATTAGATTATTTAATTTACTTATTAATAGTAATTATTTTTATAGTGATTTTTCTCTCTTAAGTTACCATGTTATCTCAACAAAATCTCTTTTCTCAAAAAAATAATTTAACATCACTATACAGTATTCTTTTTACGATATTTTTTTACAATATTATTTTTACACATTTTTTATATTATATAATTGAGCTTTCTACATAAATTTTTTTGTAATGTTTTTACTTTGAGAAGCCCAATGAAAAACAAACATTATGACATAAAAAAATTTATACCCAAAATTACAATATTTTCTTGAAAAGAAAAAAAGAAAACAAGACGTCCCATCCTATCCCGACATGGGACGAAAATCCCATCCTGTCCCTGTTCACTAGGACAAACTTGTCTTGGTCCAGTCCTGTCCCATAAATAGCCCTTCAGAAGTGTTTGTTGTGGAGCTGTCATTTAATATGTCACCCATAAAATTATACTTAAAACTAATTTACTCCAACGAAAAAAAAAAAATTGCAGTGAGGCCTTCAACCCGTAAGGTATTGCCTTCCCAAAACGACAGTTTCATGGTCATTTTCTGGGTGCAACTCCGCCGACATAATGCCTTATAAATCAGGAAAAATTTTAGATACCCCCCGTAGAAAGTAGATACATAATTTTCAACAATGACCAAAATATTTTGAAACTTCACTGCATTTCCTTGTATCAAAATAAAAATTAAATTTTTTGGATGAAAAATCATTGGTGCCTAGTTTTATTTCTTTTTTTCCAAAATGATTATATTAACCGTCACTAAAGCTTCGGTGCGTAGAGTTCCTCCCAGCCCCTCCACCAAAGCGCTAGTAGCTGGAGTTCCAACCTTCAGTTCCCAAGGAGCGTATTACGCAAATAAGGTGACCAAGTGAGAACCGGCATTCCTCCTCTACCATTACCATTCTCTTCTCCTCCTGCACCCAACTATGTCGTTTTGGGGCTAAAATTTGAAGGCTGCCTCTTTTTTTCAAAATCAATA